CATTCAGATTTCCCAGCCAGCTAACTAGCCAATGTTTTTTTTTTTCCAGCTAGCTCAAATTCTGCCTGACGAGCGGGTATTTTGTCGAGCGGCTCCGTCGGGTACTCCTGCGAAATTAGCTTTATGTAATCAGACTATAAGATGTAATTTAAGAATATTAGCATGCATATGTTAGTTATACTTAAGAACATAGTTGATAGAGGGGAGTCTTCTTATATATATAACTATGTCAGTTGAAACCAAGCGCTGTAAAACTAACTTGATAGTTACATGTCAGTAAAATCGCTTGTCAGGCTGTCTGGGCTGTTGAGTCTTTTAGAGTGTTCAGTACTCGCCGTCCGTTTCGGGCGAATGGATTATTAATGAAATGAGGTGCTTTGCCCATGGAGGTTAGTAGTGTGTTCCAATACTGAGCCGCGACTGAAAAAGTTAGCAAGTTAGTGGTTTCATCATCCCCTTTGATTTAGTTTCATCGCAAATCGATACGCTGCAAGAATTCTTTCTTATATTCACCTTAAAGAGACATATGTACATATAGAGCTATATGCCACAAACCAATCCTTCCAAAGCTTGAGGATATAAAAATATAATTGTGGGAAGGAAACTGAACTTTTTACTTAAAGCTGTCATCGATCACATTCATTTACATACAGTTGATTTTTTTTTTCATACCTGCCAATCATTTCCCTATGGTAGCAATGTGAGTCGGTTACGTTGGCTTTCAAAGTTCAAATAGCATGAGAACTTTAACTTGAAATCCGCCGGGGAGAGTGTCAGGATAATTGAAAATTTTATTTGTAAAAGAGTATATCCCCCATTCAATTGTATTTTTTAACTTGAAGCTGTCGAATGTACCCGCAACCAGATTGGATAACATTGAACTCGTTTCGATTTCTTCATTTTCCTTTCAGTTTGCTTATATCAGATAATTTCGATTTCATTGAGGAAACATATTTTACTCTTGGCATCTATTTACTTGATTACTCTTTAAAAGAGTTTTTAGCGGTTATAAAGCACTAGTAAGTAATTTAAAATAATATTTTAATAATACTTTTAATATTTTATAGCAGTCGAGAATAAACTTAGTCTGCTACACAGCCGTTCTTTTTAATTGTCGCCTAAGGACGGCCGTGTTGCAGACTACTGGATAAACGGAGTTATAACGTACGCTCCAACTGAGAAATACCACAAGATGACGCTGGTATCCTAGGACGACTGGGTCTTGGATATGTCTCGAAAACAATAGAGTTTACCTTGACAGCTACCCCAAAGCAATAGCCAGGGAAAAATAAAATACCGAGGTTACTGGCCAATAGACGCTCATCGGCGAAGGTTTTGATGACAGAACCGGACATAAATCACACTGTGAAAGAAATTTTGGGGGCACGAGTCGTCTACGTCTTCGCCTTTCTTCACCTTGCACGTTGAATTAGCGTAAGAAATAACAGCGAGATAAAAGAAAAAAACGTCTCTTTGATCAGCTAGTTCCTTGCGCATTTTGCCTTCTTGAATTTACGCTCCAAAATATTCAACTGGCGTGAAAACTTTGGGAGCCGATATCAGTAGTGTGACCCGAGATGAATTTACCTCGGGAGATTTTTGATGAATTTGCCCTAGGTAAATCGGTTTTACCTGGGTAAAAGTCTGTAGTGTGACCACAGCTATTCTTTCATGGTGGTTGTAAAATAAGTCGGGATCAAGTTGAAAAACAAACTTTTCTGACAACGAAGAACGTTATTTGATATGTGATGTTATAGTAGTAAAAAAAGGACCTTCAAGAGCAGTCTCTTGGATCTTCTGCTCTCTTTGTATTGACTTGGAAGTCATGTGAAACAGCATCTGCCCCCTCCTGCACTGCAGGGGAGCACAGAACAAGCTAGAAGCGCGAGTGGGGTATGATGGGAACGAGCGCAGAGCAGGATCAAGCAGGGATTCCTTTCACCCCTGATTTCCTTAATAATTAAGTCATGACAAATATCCCCATGCAAAAGGTGATCGCGAGCAACTTGGGACAAGGCAACCAGCTAATATCAGATTTTATCATTTGTTTTCAACTTATTGGCTAAAGACCAGCAGCAAAGTCAACTGAGAAAAAAATAACTGAGAAATCCGTAAGTTGCACCAGCGATATTTGATTCACGCGAAATTTCTATTCGTTAAGTTCTTTACAAATGGCCCATTAGTAAAGAATAAAATTACACTTGGAAATCATATATCGCAGGAGCAACCAGTGGATGTGCAATATCAAAGCCGAGTTTTAAAAAGGTGCTCTGCAATCTAAACTACTAGAAAAACGATGTTTTTAGGATAATCAATAGAAATGAGAATCCCGATTACCAAAAGTTGAAACGGAGATAAAGAATCAATCTTTCTTATAACAAATTTCGAGATCAGTAAAATTCAGTTATTACCGGTACAAGTTTATCCCGATACAAATTTTAAACTGGAATTAAAGAGCCTGCCTATTTCATTTTCGTTTTTCTTTTTCTTCCTCTTTTTT